GTCAGATGCGTTGTCAGGAGCTAGTCAATGGAATTCGAACGCTTGCGAATCTTTCATTCTCCATATAGGTAAGATACCGCGTAAGTCTTCAAGGATTCATAGAGCGACGCAGGATCGAATATCTCACACTTTGACACATATGAATGACTTCCTCACCTCGTAAATATGTTCAGGAAGAGGCACAGTTCGCTCAGCCATAGTATTCGAATATCTCTAAGCACGCAAGCGCGCAGACTAGCTGCACAATGGTCTAGCTCTTAGGTAAAGAAATCCCATCGGCAAAGTCTCGGCGCTTTCTGCACGAAAGAGGAAGCCGGAAAAGCTCATCACTTACTTACTCTCTCACGTATAAGTCAGCAACACAGCCATTTTATATTCATATATATATATAGACTACCCTCCATTGTACATAGAGGTTTTTTTTTTTTTAACCCCAAACTGTATATATCTCTTTCCCCAAGTATATATACACACATACTATCGCGATGTCTTCACACGCCAACGGAGCCAGCGGAGTCAATGGACACAGCAAACCCGCGGAACCTCAGCTGCACAGGGCAGACGAGGTCGAAGACGTAAGCACTAACTAACACCAGCACAGCACCATCCATCCATCCATCCCCACTCACCACTCTTTCCCGCTCGCTACGGTGTCTGATCTCTATCGCAGTTGCTCGAGGCGGTGAAGTCGCTCATCGTGCCCTTCATCCGGGCCGCCGACGGCGCGGCCCCGAGCCGGGCGCGCGGGCAGATCGCCGCGCGCGAGCGGAACGTGCTCGTGGACGCGCACGCGCCGGAGGAGCTCGCGAAGAAGCTGCTGCTTTCCCTGCCCGGGGGAGAGGGCAGGGGCAAGGAGGGCTTGTTGGAGGCCGTGCAGAGCGTCCTTAAGTACAGCGTGAATACCTGGGACCAGGGGTTCATGGATAAGTTGTACTCGAGCACGAATGCGGTACGTTGGCTAGCTGGCTTCGCTCGGCATATCTATGATATATATATATATATATATATGGATATGTTGAGTATTGGGTTATGGAGTGCTGGCTAATCATGGAATTGTAGGTTGGCGTGATATCTGAGCTGCTGCTCGCGGTCCTCAATACCAACGTAAGTCACCTTCCTTCTCTCCTTACCACAACATATCTATCTACCCATTTACATACCCCTGTCCCCTACCCCCTACCCCCTACCCCCTATCCTCCAACCTAACACAAACACCACACAGGTCCACGTCTACACCACCTCGCCAGCCCTAACCGTGATCGAAAAAACCACAACCCGCCACCTCGCCTCGCTCTTCGGGCTGACGGGCCCTTACGCCGGCGGCCTCACCTGTCCCGGCGGCAGCGCCTCGAACCTGACGTCCCTGATCATCGCGCGCAACACCCTCTACCCCTCCACCAAGACCGCCGGCAACGGCGCCCACGCCTTCGCCGTCTTCACGAGCGCGCACGGGCACTACTCCGTCGAGAAGGCCGCCATCGCGACGGGCATGGGCTCGTCCGCCGTCGTCCCCGTCCCCGTCGACGCCGCCACGGGGCAGATGCTGCCCTCGGCGCTCCGCGACGCCGTCGCGCGGGCGAGGAGCGAGGGCCGCACGCCGCTGTACGTCAACGCGACGGCGGGGACGACGGTGCTCGGCTCGTTCGACCCGCTCGCCGCGATCGCCGACGTGTGCGCGGCGCACGGCCTCTGGCTGCACGTCGACGGGTCGTGGGGCGGCGCCGCCGCGTTCTCGCGCGCGCACCGCGCCAAGCTCGCCGGCGTCGAGCGCGCGGACTCCGTCACCGTGAACCCGCATAAGATGCTCAACGTGCCGCTGACGTGCTCGTTCCTGCTCACGCGCGACGTGCGCGTGTTCCGCGCCGCGAACACCCTGCGCGCGGGGTACCTGTTCCACACCACCGACGACGAGGACTCAGATGAGAAGGAAGTGTGGGACCTCGCGGACCTGTCGCTCCAGTGCGGGCGCCGCGGCGACAGCCTCAAGCTGGCGCTGGCGTGGATCTACTACGGGGCGTCCGGGCTCGAGGCGCAGGTGGACGGGGCGTTCAGCACGGCGGCGCGGCTGGCGCGCTTGATCGCCGCGGATGCGGACTTCCGCCCGCTGCTCCCCCGGGACGCGCCCCCGCCGTGTCTGCAGGTGTGCTTCTACTACGCGCCGGGGGGCGTGGTGGCGGAGGAGGCGGCGGAGAACACGCGGCGCACGCGCGAGATGGTCGCGCGGCTCGTGGGGAGGGGGTTCATGGTCGATTATGCGCCGGGGGAGCTGGGGAGCTTCTTTAGGGTCGTGGTCAACTGCCAGACTTTGGAGGGTACGGTCGAGGGACTCGTCGTGGCGTTGAAGGAGGTTGGGAGGGAGGTTGTGCCTGAGTAAGTGGATGTAAATAAGGGAGAAGAACCTGTTGCTCCATCTTTTGAGTCATTCGAGATCTGTACTGGACAGCTCTGAAGTCACTGGTTCTTTGTTAGAAACGAGCGACATAGACATACTTTATATAAGAGAAGCTCTCGGACTAGAATTCACAGGAGAAAATAGGGGCTATGCAAAAATTGAGGTATATACGCATCCAATATTATTTGAATCTTATAACTCCCTTCATGTGTACATCCTGCTGTGTTGTTTATTGATAGTTTAGTATATCCAGCAGAGCCAGTAGGTAGCTCGCTAGACACAGGCCAGCCATTCCATCATGAAGCTGAATGGACCTAGAATCTTCACATCTAACCACACGAGTATATATGGAAATCTTCTCTGGCAAGATGCTAAACCTTTAGTAACTCATCTAACATTCCCTCGTAGCCTGGTAACGTGTTTTGGTATCCAGACTCATCAATGGGTGTCAGGGACGTGTCACGAAGTTGGTATCGCTCAATGTTAGCAGGGTTAATATGTATCATATTCGCAGATTTACCCTCAGCTGCAGTTCTCTCGCTTCGTACTCTGCGAGCCGCTTCATAGTATATACGTATCTTGTCCTGATGATCTTAGAGTGCTATATCATCTATAGAAATGCGAGAACCATGACCACGTTGTCCACCGAAGCTAAACTTCTGGCTATCCATGATGAAGGTCCCTCATTTTCAACGCTATACGAGCAACTACGGGTGATCCAGAAGAACGATTTCAAATAATGTAACAGAATATTCAAAGAATAGAAGACTTCGTTTTCAATGCTGGGGTCTTCTTGTCAACATTATAAAGCACCGCAGCAAGTTGGATGCAACCGAGAACTAGGGAGGGTTTCGCTCGCATAGCAACGGTGACAATGACATCAGACTTCATTCAAATGGTATAAGAGATACGATACCCTAATAAGTACCTGAATCATTCCATCCATGGGACTTACAAGATGGAGTACGTGTACTCGTGCAGGTTGAAGACATGGTTAGGCTTTCAGAGCATGGTAGAAACAAAGAACGTTTCCAAGCAGAACAACATGGCAGTGCTCTATAAATGGGAGGGTTCTTATCAAAAAGGTTGAATTGGTACTTTCGGTTCATGCCGAAGCGAGAGCAGATGCCCCGAGAGTGTATGATGACTCTAGAGAAGGACCCAATTCTATTCTCTCGCAAATAGTGAGAATTTTACGCGAGGCAGATCTTTTTCTACCTCTTGCGTAATCTTGATTGCGAGAACGGAGGTTTTACTGAATTTCGGATGACGATATGCAGTCAAGCAGGTGACAGTGAAGTCGTACGCCCCATCGTGGATTTGACGTCAAACAACCAAAGCATTGTAAAAGCCCGAAATTCGTCTATCTAGCCGTGTCCATCTTAGAATAAGCCCTGAATGACTAGTAGATAATCGTCACATAATTACCATTATAGAGAAGGAGCATTTCTACAAAGGACATGTCATAGAATTGTGACGGAATTTGGGGCATATATGAGCTTCTTCCTGTGTTCTTCGTACTAGCTTGTGTACTCTTCTGTCAATTATACGGTTACTAGTATCTCAGTCTAGACGTTGTGGTTTTCAACAAAGAAGTCAAAGGAAATTCCCCATTGAGGGTGATGTTCTAGTTTGACGACTGGAGAACCTATTAATGGAACCGCAGAAAATCCATCTTTCCTGATCCCCAACTTGCACCAATTTCTACAGCGCAGAAAGCCATACCGCATAAAATGCAAATGGAAACCATTCAAGCTTCACTAGACCGATTCGAAGAAAAATACAAGACCGCTTGCGATTGAATGGGTAAACTGCAAGCCCAACTGGATAAATCGCAGCAGAAAAACCGAGGCCTGGAAGCACAAGTTGAATCCCTCAAGTCCAACAATCAGCACTTAAAGGACTAGCTTGAGCGGCCGATTAGAATATCGGAGTTGTAATCGTTGCTCGTAGAGCCGAAAGTGAGAGCAGGGAGTCTATGATAAGACAATGGACACGCCTCACGAGGCTTCAGGCTGCACGCAAGAGTGAAATGGTCCAAAGGTCTGTATTGCTCTAGTACGCAGCTATCACACGTTTCATTCCTTGGGCATGCCTGTCTGGCATCATACCTAACTTATACTTGTAAAACTTCTCATAATTGAATATTTGTGCTCACGTATACGTGTATCGGGGTACGTTCGAACTCAGGTTAATACTACGTGCCAAATCCGGCTCATTCACGTGCGAGTTTCAACCGCTCCCTTCCTAAATTCATTACCAATCTTCTCGACCTCAATTTCAACCCGCCCTCGACAACGACCACAGAGAATACCATAAGATCTGCCTATGTTACAGTACAATACCTGACCAGAGAGATAAAACACGTCGAGCATTGCCTGGAGAGTCCAAAGATCAAGTAGGTAAGAGTCAGTGTCGAAAGCCCAACGAGCATCATCCATCAATCGCTCTAAGACTGAACCCACTTTACTACTTTTCTACGCAAGTGCGCCGTGGTTGGATTAGGGTTGTCATTCCTGCATATGTATGCAGAAAACATCGAAAACGAGGTAAAAATTTCAGGAAAAAATTGAGGCTCTCGCTGTGGACAGCGAGGCATCGGGGATTGAGCCCGATGCGGGGGTCGAACCCGCAACCTTGAGATTAAGAGTCTCACGCTCTACCGATTGAGCTAACCAGGCGGTAGAACCGGGTAGAAACCTATCCGCGGAACTGTGAGGTTGGTGGTTTTTGTTGGAATCGGGTGAGATATTGTAGCTTATTGGATGAAGAGACGGCGGCGCGGTGGGGGCGGCGGGAAGGTCGGGGAATCATCGGCTATCAAGTGCCCCTAGCAAGATAAGCTAGTCGTGGATGGGAATAGCAGGCCGCTAGAAAGAGTTCGAGAAGATCACATTCGTCGAACGAGCAGATGATAAGTTAAAGAGGGATAAGTTACTCGACAAAGTCGAGCCGACGAGAATCCAAAGGCCAGAGGACTACGCTTCTACTTTCCTCTTTGCTGGCCTTCCTATTACAAGTACAGCATGGCATCTGGTAATTCCACATGCTTGTATCATTCACTAGTATTTTGGGAATATCAGTTTACATACTAAAGTGTAGGTACCTATGTTTCATGGCAAATGCCCCTGGATTGAATCCCTTTCTAAACGGCTCTACCTAATACTTAAGTATTGCTCCGTCAAACTCATCAGCCACATCTAGAAATAGATGGGATTCAGCTTGGACACCAGCAGCCGCCACCAGTCCCACCGAAAATGACGGGCTTTCCGCCTGTGCATATCGAACCCGCTCATATCAACGGGTCTACTCCGTATCCCTTGCCAAAATACATCATCCAGCAGATCCTCTCAGTGGGCTCGCGTGACGGTGAGTCGGTGAGTGTGTCATCGAGCAACTGGATACGCAGATACGAAGATTTGGATGCGAGATCAGATCGCGTCCACGCACATGGACTGTGTCCACACGGAGCCCACGGAGTCCGCAGGCCCACAATCGGCACCGCACCCATAAATGATTAGACCGACACGCATGAGATCGACATGGAGCTCTGACGTTGGTTCGGACCCACTCCCGGACGGTATCGGAGTCCTGTCGTTGCCGGAACGGAACCGCGGGCGTAACAATGCAGTCTTCCATGGAGGATACCGTATGCCTCTTATAGCTGGCCGAGTGGCGATTTAATAGCTTGTGCCGGCATGACGCGCTTTGGGCTTCCCTATGGTGGACATTTTGTCTTCACCCGCCGCTCCATGCGGAGGCGCCTTGCTAATGAAACGATGACCATACTGTCCTGCTAGCTGTCATCTGCCTGCAGGTAACCTCACGACAGCTACCCATATGAGTCAAGATCTTGCGCTAATTAATGGACACCTTTGTGGTCCTACTACTCATAGAGGTACATCAATTGGCTGTGAAATAATGATATACGCTATGTAGTTGATAATCCAACGAATGTTAAACCCAACATCAGCAACACCACGACCCCCCATACCGCGAATCTTCGCACCCACATCGTCAGTTGGAATGGGGATGAGCCCAGGCGGAACCTGTAGGGTGGTAGTGCCAGTGGTGGTGCATGATGAGTTACAGTCTACCCCATTTGAATTCGACTATAACTACCTAGGATCTGTAGAAACAGCCATGGCAAACGACCTATAAGTAGTTCGTAGTTAGTATGGGGTCTCGTATGGTCATCCCTTTTGAAACCCGCCTCCGTATGCATAGAGCTGTTTTCCCACCAGGGGTAGATGGTACATGGCATATCTACGTCTTATAGAAGCTGAGACGGAAAAGCATAATGTCAAGAGAGATAGACCTTGAACATACTAAAGTCCCCCGCCGGGATATCTACTCTTTAATCTCAGCGTCTACTTCTTTTAATCTGTTTATAACAAGGTGGTATGAGATCAGTTCTGATCTCAACAGCACTAGGGCCTGTGCTAAATCGCTATTATCAGAGCTCCGCTTCATTAGCAAGCCAATACAATGACGATTACGTTCTATCACGTCGAGTTACAGTTCCACGGCCGCTTCTATATCCCTTATCGACGTTCAATTCTTCCCCTTGCTCCGAACAGGGGTTGGGGGACTGAAAGTGAGGCGCGCGAAGAGGACGCGGTGACATCGGCTGAAGCAAGAATGACTGGTGCGTATCTCTGGAACTGGAAGTTGAGTATACACTGGCATCATCTACTTAGATAGCTATGGATCATTACCATATTAGAAGTAAGCTACACATATATAGCCAGTAACTGGGTAGTCGAAACAGATACAGGTCCTAGGCATATGGTTCGGCTGGTTTATTCATGATGGCATCGGTCAGCCGGTGAGAAAAGACCGTGATTAGTATACCCAGCTGTGCACAAATAAGGACGAGACGATCGTACGTATACACATATCTATTACAGCTCAAGACTCGACTTGATCATCTAACCCCTCTTACCCCTATTATCCACCCACCACTGTGCCCTCCCCACATACATGTGCTAGATACAATATCCCATACCAGAAACCAGACCCAACACTCGAATAACACATATAGCACATGGAAGTAGGGATATATCTATCTAGACACCAAGATAGAATCGAATGATGAAACTTACAAGGCCTCGACCAATCCAAGGCACTGAACTAAACAGAGACATACTACCCCTTTCTTTCAAGATCGCGGTAAGGCATACATATGGCTTCACGTACGACGACTGATCCACTGTCTCCATCCTTATACATCGAACATGGCAGTGTACTGAAAATCAAGCAGTATATCTAGCTACTATCTAGCTGCACAGAGGCAATGGCCCTACCTATCACGTCTCGAAGAGGGGGCTTGGAAGGGCAGTTAGCCGTCTTCTACTAGAGCCAACTTCACATGTGAAGTGAAGGCCTCATTACCAGAGTTAGACAATATTTCCCCAGGAAAATCGCTACGAGGTCAAGATTAACGAGGTTGACATGCTAGAGTAGCTCATGCTGAATATTACAGATTACAGGATGATAGCTGAGAAACAAGCCTCAGTTTCCCCCCTAAGATATCCTAGGTACCTACACAATCATAGATTACGGGCACGCTCGCGATATACAGACTATCGAAATTGATCGAACTGGTAGGAGCACCGGAGATATCTATCCGATGACTGATTCATGGCCGGGTGAAGTACCCCTTCATCGTCCCAGCTAAGGGGTAAAGGGGCTACTATTACCAACCGATTTTGATAGTTTGATCGCAAACTACTACCCTGTTCGACACAGCAAGACTTCGCGCAAGATATACGAGATAGCTTCCCCCGGGTCGGATCCTCCTAGGCAGTCTAGTCGTTACGACGCCAACGAAGCGTTCACTTGCGATAGCCGAACGACGGGCTCGTGAATAGTGTGATTCAAGATCGTGTCCTCTAATCTCAAGCTCATCAAGATAGGGGGGGTTATCGTGTTGATCAAGCTGATACCCCAAGAACCAATCACATCTCTCCACTGGCGCACTCTGACCAGCCGATACAACTGGGTACCGACTATCGCAGAGAGGGACCGGGTTCAGCACCGGATATAATGCAGCGGAGGCTCCCGTGACCCAGCTGCGGAACGAGTCAAGCATCACGATACTAGCCCTATGGGACCTCAATTGCCCATCTTTACAAAAGGCCATCCTACCTAACAACAATCAGCTGGCCACGATAGGAAGCAAAGTCCCGCAGAGCAAAGCTGCCAAGATACGTCGCATCACCTAGCTCACGATGCGAGCTCCGGGCTAGCAGAACTGACATCGTGGAGTAGTCGGCTAGAATCTGGCGCGATGGCCGGGGCGGCTTGGCTGCCCGCCTATCGCGGCTCACGGGTCAAGCGCCTAGGGCAAACCAGCACTCTGGAGCAGCAAGACCCGAGCGATTGGTTGGCGGGCTGCTGCATAGCGGTGTGGCAAGAGTCCCTAGCCCAGCCTTAAGAAGGGCGCCGGCGCAAGTAGATAAAACTCTAAAGGCTGGGGCGCTCCGCGCCAGCCCGTCGACGAACCCTTGGCGGGTTCGATGGCAGCTGACGACGCTTGCGGGCCACTAGTATCGCTCTGTCGTCCCTTTCTATGCCTCGCTGTCAAAAGGAGTAAAGTTTGTGTGAAAGGGCAGGAGTGGTCATGCTGGATCTACGTGACGCTGTTCCTTGGACGAACTCAAAACTGTTGAGACTCTAGATGGCATCGTCGTGGAAAGGTTGGCCCGCCGCGGGGCTGCCTGACGGCTGACACACTAATATTTACGTAAAGCGCAAGAAATAATAGGGTATTGAAGGCGATTTGACGGCCGGTCCAGTCAATAGAATTTCAACGGCAAAGATATCGGATTTGAGAAGGGTGCTGCAAGCTATAGCTCTGGGTCATTTGGAGATGTTACGGGTTTCGTCCGGGCGGCGTCAGCTGAATCTGCATGAGGCTGATAAGTTGAACGTATCTCGGGTCAGTCTGGAAGGTATCAACGGCGGTATGGCTGAAACCAGAGCTTGTCAGAGCCTGGTAGCCTGTCCACTCGGCTTTCGCGATTATGAGGTGGCTCAACAGAGCCGCATGGAGCTGCAGTGGAAGACGATAGATGCTGGCGCTTGTTGAATAAGGTTTGAACGGATCTACATACGCCGGCTTCACCTGCATACGGGCCAATGCCACCAGATCAGCGTGCCATAACCTACTGCGCAGATCATGTAAATCGAGTCAGGCTCAGGGACACTAGCTTTAGGTGAGAGACCCCTAGATCCGGAAATAGGTCAAAAGTGCAGAACTCAAGCCAATATGACCGTATACTAGAGCTGTAGCTAAAGCCGTCGGTGGGTTGGGTCTGTGATACGGTCCTCTGCCGAAGAGGTTCTGAGGACCATCGATAACTTAGCAGACATTTGCAAGTATCTATAGATTAGTCCCGTCTATGGACAATACCACCTGTGAATCTAGTCAAGAAGCATATTGGTTGGGAATGGGTCGATACCGGCCTAACGGTTCTTTAGAACCATACGCGCAGGAGCTACAGGGTCGGAAGCGAGAGCCGATAGACTTCGTTGAGGCGTTAGAACAGACGATAGTCAAGTCCTGGCGTGCTTTGGCAAGGTCTGGGGTGTCGTAGCAAGTTGCCAGCAGCTTCTTAGGTAGGTTGAGGAAGGGAGACTGACTCTGGAATTATCCACAAAGGCATTGTCGCAGAAT